AGTATATTCTGTTTCGGGGTAAAAAAACACCATTTCCAACCTCAACACGACAAGATTGCAAAGTACAATCGCTATTTTTAGCATTTACTTTAAAAATATCTAATAAATGAGGGTTTTGGTCTTGTGAATTGCTTTTATTAGCTCTTTGTAAATAAACAAGCACATGTTTATGATTCATTACACCAGCTGCTATTCTAAAAGTTATATTGCTTTGTTCTGCATCAGATGATTGTGTGACCATTTCTCGAAGATAATTCCACTTTTTTGCTTTCAAATAATGTTCGGAAATCAAACTATATCCTTCAGCGTTGAAGATTAACCGAGGAACCCATAAGATAAGTTAAGTAACTATAACTCTTCCATCATCGGCTGCAGCTGCATTATGGATTGATTCATTGTCGTTTGTTAATTTTAATGTTATTTGAATTTGGCTAGGGGGCAACATATTTGTCTCTTAACTCCGAAAAAAAAAAGAATAATTGTTTACAGGAATTTTACATTTAATTTCCTTACCTCCTTGAGCTAATAATTTTTTTGCAGCAAAACCTTTATTAAATGCAGCTTGATAAACTCTAGATTCAACTACATTTGTTTAATCTAAAGCAATAAATTAATTTGTCCCAGTTGTTTCTGCATAATCTTTTGTTAATTCAACTAAATTTCTTATATTCACAACCTTGTATTAGTTATTCAATCATATACAATCTTTTTTCTTGTTTAATAAATAAATGATCAATTAATGAAGCTGCATTATTTATTACAGCAATTTGACCAGCAGTATCATAATTAGCTCCGTCTACAAGCTTATTTATTTTAAAATTTAGCCCAAAATATCCATTGAACCAATCAAAATATGAAGATCTATCATTTATATTAAAACTATATCCATTTTTCTGGTGGGAGGTGTTATTGGCCAGGATTGTTATTAAAGCTGTATCTAATTGAATAGGTGTGTGTTCATATATTTCACAGTATTGTTTTGATCGAAACAAATATATTATATATATTTTTTAAATAATAGCCTTCCAGATAACAATTTATTTATTTGTAAAATTATATTTCGCATTCCTGATCAAGTAAATATATGTCACGGTTCAGAACTGTTCACTATTTAGGGGAGAAGATGTGTAAGCGGCTGGATAGCTCAGTCGGTAGAGCCGCGGAACGGTATTCCGAGGGTCCCGGGTTCGAGTCCCGGTCAGGCTGCACATTTTTCTCACCCTGTGACATTTGGCGCCCAACGTGGGGCCGTGACTGATATAGCTCAGAGTTTAATTTACATTGCTCAGTAACTCTGTGAAATTCGAGGACGAATTTCAATATAGCAGGGGAGTATGTCACGGTTCAGAACTGTTCACTATTTAGGGGAGAAGATGTGTAAGCGGCCGGATAGCTCAGTCGGTAGAGCCGCGGAACGGTATTCCGAGGGTCCCGGGTTCGAGTCCCGGTCAGGCTGCACATTTTTCTCACCCTGTGACATATATATCCTCAGTATCAGTCTTTCCTAATTCTTTCACAATTTTATCACCAATTGTTTTTTCTTTTTAAATACACCTGTTATTTTATCAGCAGCTAAATTTCCGACTTCAGTTCCCACCTTTTTGACGCCACTTTCAAGAGCAGTGTGACCTACTATTTCTAATACTTTTTTACCTACAGAGGAGAATAAAGTGTCAAAGATACCTCCTGCACGCGAAGACCTTGCAGAGATACCTTCTCCCGTCCAATTATCAACATAAATATATACTCCACTATTTTCATCATATACTTTTTTGTGCATTATATAATTTACATTTCTTTTATAATTAATGTAAAACTAGTTTCAACTTCATTAAAATTGATTATTCTACCAAACACATCTGTAATATATATTATTATCGAATTTATAATACTTCTATTATTTCAGAATAACTAACCCTAATAGGTTATTTTGTAAAAGGATAAGCTCTTGTTAAATCCGCAGTACTCAAAGCATATATCACATCACCAAGTTCTCCATCAACAAGTGAATTATCTATCAAATCACAATGAATATAAATTGTACCCACATAATTAGTTATATTAGGTGTTAAAGCTCCCCATTCTGTTTTAGTTACTCTTTTCTTTTCAAAACCAAGTAGTTTACACAATTCAGACAATCTAAAATCTAATGAAAAAGTATCCATAAGTAAAATTAGAATTTAAAAACTACTCAAATCAAATTCTAAACTTATAAGTGCTAAAGCAGAAACACCATCGAAATCATCATTACTTATTTATGTTTCTCTAATGTAATTTTTGATATCTGTGTAAGAATAAGAACCATTTGTAAAGAAAATATCTTTCCATTTCTTACCATTATTATAGCGAATCCTCTTATTATCATATTCATCACTTATATTATGCCAAGAGTAAGTCATTGAATTTATTGAGTCTTATCCAACAATATATCTTTTTTTTTTTTTCTAAAACTAAAGGACGACTAAATCTTACTGTGAAATCACTTGGAGTATTTCCATTATTATTTCGAACCACTTCAGAACTTAATACAATTTTTTGTTCCATTATATAAAGTACTTCTGATATAATTTTTCATGTTGTTCTGGACTTAATACCTTCAGTTTTAATAATGAATCGATAATGCGAATGCCTTCATTTGTTAAATCTGGTTAATTATTTCCAGCATCAATCGAAACACAAATTAACTTTAAATCATTAATTAATTCTTTTGGATCACAAGCACAAATGCCTGATCCTGTTATAACCTTTTTTAAATATCATAGAACTCTTATTAAAAGGAAGTTTTGATTCTGAAATATTTTTCTTGAATGTAAGGAATATGTTTTCTTTTTATCATATATTTTATTTATTAATTCAATTAAATCATCATCTACCTTTGTGTTCATTACCTCTTTCCCAGTGTTCTTATCTTTCGCTACTAATATATTTTGACCATACAGTTTATGTAGATTAATAGATAAATTACCATATTGCCCATCTCGAGAAACTTTATATGAATTCCTAATTCCTTTATTCAAGGAATTCCTAATTCCTTTATTCAAACCCTTTCTAACACATAGTGTCCTTGTGAAAGAATATCTTGTAATGTCTTTCTGTAATTTTTATAATTAGCTGTCTTTCTGCAATATAATTATTTCGTTTCTTATTCTTTTGTTGTGAGTGGATGTTTCCTTCTCGTTAGTGCAGCTATCTTCGCACTATACTTTTTTATATCACCTGATGCATTATCATTTATTCCCATTATTTCTTCATGAGTCATTTTGTCATTAGGATCATCAGACTTAGTATGATAAAAATCACCTCTTGTTGTATACATTTCTTCATCTAATAAATCTAGATCAACATGCTTATATAAATTCACTTTAATTGTTTTCCTTTTATTAACTTCTTCCTCAAATCTTCTACTAATATTTTCTTCATCTAATGAATAAATAGGAGACGGTGGTTCAATTGTTATTGGAGGGGGTAATGTTCCTGGTGCTTCTTCTTCAAGTAATTTTCGGGCTTCAGCTTCTTATATATTTTCAACAAATCGTCTTGGAAGTAATGCCACTTCGTCTTTTAGACCAGGTAATGCTTTTAGCTGACTAGACAGTGTTTCCTTTTGATCTTTTAAGGTTTCAGTGTTTGGTTTATACATGTCTGCATACATTTCCCTGCTTGCACCCTTTCTTATTTTATCTTTATTACGTATATGTTTATTTTTATTTTTTTTTTGTTCAGATGCAATCTTTTTTTCTGTAATTTCTTTTGGTTTGATAACATTTATACAATAATGTAAGATATTGTAGGAAAATGTAAGATAATGTAAGATAAATTATATATAATGGAAATTCCTAATTATGAAAAATTTAGAAAATCTGATAATAACTTTACGCAATTATTTTCATATATGCCATACTTATGTTTTAGAATGCTAATTTGTGGATCAGATAAAACAAACACTCTTATACACATGCTAAGGATACCTTTAGTTTATTATGATCAATTTTACCTCTATTAAAAAAAAAACTTGGAACAATCAAAATATCGATACTTAATAGATGTTTTAAATACATTTGCCGAAAGGATTGAAGTGGAGGTAGAGGATATTCTTTACTTATCAATTCAGACATCATTTTTGATGATTTTATTTGTGAAGACCAAAAAGAAATAACAAAATACTTTATGCAAGGACGTCATAAGAACTGTTGTGTTATCTATCTAAGACAGTCTTACTATAAATCACCAAAAGATATTCGGATTAACTTTTCACGTTATATTTTATTTTAAAGTCCAAGTAAACGTGAAAATGACATGATTTGTAGGGAACAATTGATTGATCGGGATTCTTACCAAAACGCAACAAAGTAGAAATATAGTTTCTTGTATATTGACAAACCAAACAAATTTTGTAAAAGAAACTTTACTGAGGAAATTACTAGAGATAAATTATAATTCCGTCATGGAATTTCATTAATTTAGGGAATAAATTATATTTAATGAGAATTTCAATAATGTAAAGCAAAGAAACCAATCAGAAAGCATAAGTTAGGTCAAATTTGATCTTGACCTGACTGATTATGCAAGTATAAGTCAATTTAAAATAGAAATAAACAGGAAATGGAATAGTATCTTAATAGAAACTCAATAGAAAACAATAAAATGAATAAACCGTTAGATATGGGTGGCAATGAAATAATCAATTTAGGAAGTCCTGACAAACCAAATGATGCAGTTTCAAGGAGATTTGTTTATAGAAAATCTCAAGATATAGTTTCAAATTATAACCTTGAATTTACGAAAGAAATACAGAAGTTACTACAAACTGAACGCGATAATATCGGACAACTAAAAAAAGACCTTGGTCAGAATTCGCGTACAATAATTGATTAACATGTTAAAATTGGTGATGAAATATCAAAAATATCAAAAGCGCTCAACGAATCAGATGAGCACACTAAACAAAAATTAGCTAAAAACATTAGTATTGTTCCAGAACAGATGAAAGAATTAACGGAAAATATGATTAAACACGAAGAATTGAAAAAGAACATTACCGAAGCTGAAAACAAATTATGTATAAACTAGAAATCAAGACAGAAATAAAGAACTTTAATGATCCCGCAGCCAAAATCAATAAAGACCTTTTTCAATAACTTTTTAAGTAAATTTGCTGAATACAAAGCCGATCTAGAAAAGTTTGCTTCTACAAGAAGTGATGGTGATATGTATAATGGAAATACTTTTTTTTGTTTTCATAACCAAATATATTAAACGACATATTATTCCGAATTTCTATTTTGGGTACTTGATTTATTGTGACAGGGAATTTTATTTCAGTATAATCTAATTCACCTACATGTCCTCTATAATTACTACCCCTTTCAGGATGTGTAGTTACAGGAAATTTATAAGCTAAATGACACTATCTAAAACATACATTAGCCTTATTGAATTGCTGAGTCGTATGAACCATGATGAGATTACAGATGAAGTTCAAAAAGATGTTTTAATAAGGATGTATGCTGCCTTAAAAGTAGAATCTCTGGGAAGAGAACAAGACCATAAAATTAACGACTTTCACAGAGTATCTCAGTCATGCAGAACATTGGCTAGAGTTGTCATTAAATGCCGGGAAAAAAGTGAACACATTATTGATATGGATAAGCTAATAGTTGCACGTAACTTTGACTTACTTGTAAGTACAGCAAAGTCAATGTGTCTGAATGATGCCAAAGCTGCTCCATCCTTAGGAAAATTAATAGGAAACAACATTTCTCACATAATCCAAGTCAAAAAGGGATTTGCGTTAAGAGAAGGTAATAACACAAAGCTCGAAGAAGCTGAAAACTTCCAGAGACTTTTTACCCTGGAATGGACTTACCGTGTGAATTCTGTTTGTCAAAAAATGACCAATACCATCAACCGACAAAAAGTAAAAACAATCCCTTTGACGGAAGATTTGCTGACACTAAAATCCTACATCTCAGAATCAATGGTAAATGCAGCAGATGCGTTAATGAAGATCCCAACTGCAGCAGTTTGGACGAGATTAGCCAAGCTGACATTGTGTCGTTTGATCCTTTTTAATAAAAGAAGAAGAGCTGAGGTAAAAGATCTTAAATTAGAAGACTTTCAAAGTCGTCCAGACTGGCAGCATGAACAGAGAGGGGAGTTTGAGATGGCATTGTCCACTTCAGATAGGATAATGGCTAAGAGGTAAAATATAAAACATATTTGTAATTTCAACCTTTATGCCCTGAACATTGACAAATTCATAGATATATTTTTTAAAGGGACTTCACTGAGGGTTTTTGACATGACGGGACTGGAAATATTTTTTTTGGGATTATTACTCCATCTGATAAAGACCTATACAAATAACCTGAGTACAAAATTTCAGATCATTAACTCGCTCTGTTTTTCCAGAAAAAAAATTAAAATAGTGAAAAATGACCTTAAATTGAAAATCGTTTAAACGCTTTTCAGTCAAAACGAACTGAGAATAGCACAAACATATGATTTTCAATGTATTTCTTAATTTTAATTTATTGATATTTCTGTTTTAAGTGCTCATGCTAATCTATGTGAAAAATTATTTTTTTAGCTCACCTGAGCATATGCTCAGGGTGAGCTATTAGGATCACTCTTGGTCCGTCGTCCGTCGTACGTCGTCCATTGTCCGTTCACACATTTAAAACGACATCTCCTCTGAAACCATAAGGCAGATCATAATGAAACTTCACAGGGATGTTCCTTGTGTAAAGCCTTAACAAAGTTGTTCATTTTCCTTATATGTGTATAACAAAAACTTAAAAAATTTTCTTTAAAAAAAACTCAAATAGCTAGAGTTTAGATATTAAACACAAAGCATCTTCTAGTGAGTGTCTACCAAGTTTGAGTGTCTACCAAGTTTGTTCAAATAAAAGCCCTGGGGTCAAAATTGGCCCCGTCCCGGGGGACATTGATTTTCCTTTTATGTGTAAAGCAAAAACTTAAAAATATTCTTTGAAAAAACCCGAATAGCTATAGTTTAGATATTAAGCATGAAACATTTTCTAGTAAGTGTCTACAAAGATTGTTCAAATAAAAGCCCTTGGGTCAAAACTGGTCCTGCCCCAGGCGTGTCATTGTTTTTAACTATATGTGTACAGAAAAAAACTTGACCAGCTAGACCTTAGATGTTAAGCATGAGACATCTTCTAATGGGTGTTTACCAAGTTTGTTCAAATAAAAGCCCTGGGGTTTAAACTGACCCCGATCCAGGGGCCTATATACAGGTGAGCGACTTCAGGGCCATCATGGCCCACTTGTTATGTTTTTAGGCTTATAAACCTCAGTGGAGTTCCTTTAATGTTTATTTATGTTCATTCTGCAAATTGAAAAATACTCATAATTACTTAGTTTGTTTGAGTGCTTGATGTTTCCAATATGATACAGAAGATTTCACATTGCCAAAACTTCAACTGGCAACCCCTAAATAAAGTCCTTAGAACTTTGGTAAGTCGAAGTTTAAGGGATTTATATAAAAACTTCAACACATTGGGACCTTGACTCATGAGTAGTCTCAATTTTATAACAAATTTTCGAACTGTTGACGTTTACAAGCAGGTGACAAAAGGCGTTAAAGGCGTCAAAATATTCTAAGGATTTCGACTTACCTGTGTTCAATTATACTCTGTTTATTCTATACAGACCATGAAAAACCTGTAACACATCAACAAATTTGACACATAAAACTTGGACTTATATATTGGGTTTTATAAAGAATATATACAGGAACAAATCTGGACTTTCAATTTACTTCAACAAAAGTCAATTTATCAAAGTTTGACTCATATAAGTTCAGGGATTTCTTCCAGGATTTTTGGAACACAACCTATACCCATAAAATTGGGAATTTCAGCGAGGTTTTGTTAAAAATTGGGAAACAATGCATGACTGAAATTTTGTAATGATTAAATGGATGCAAACAATTACTGTCTATGCATCTACACAGATTTAAGCACTATTACAGTGAAGAAGCCCTTTTTGCAAAGATTTGAAAATTTTTATTCAATATTTTTTTATTTTGTTACTTTCCTTTGGATTGGGAAAATAATGTACTATTGATAATTCGGAATATGACCCAATAACGGCTATAAAATAAACCAAAAAAATCCTGGTTCTACTGTATGTAGTTTGTTCAATACTGTTGAGTCTTTCATTTCTGTTTTGTTGTAGCATTGTGTCTTCACATTTTGTTTGCTATTATTATATGTCAATGTGTCATTACTTTCAGAATGGATATGGTGCTCAGTGCTGGGAAGTCCAGGAAAAATGTGGATGCTTATGTTTTATTGCCACCAGATGCAAAAAAAGCCATAGAACTACTTAATTCAACCAGGATGATTGTGGGCATTTCAGGTACCAACCCATTTTTGTTTGCCAGAGTTAATAGTGACACACCCCTGTCAGGAAACGAAGATTTGAAAGAGATTCTTGATCTTTGTCCAGGGTTGATTCACCCAAAGCGTATAACATCAACAGGACTTCGACGATACATAGCTACTGTTTCACAGGTAAAATCAAACTCCATTATTACTTAAACCTACCGAAATACTTCAAGGTCTAAAATTGATAAAAAATGTTGTTTTTTTTCATTTCCAAATCAGTTTTTTTTAACCTTAATTTAACACTGAATAAAGGCTGCTAACCATTTGCTAAAAATGATGATTTTTTCTTAAAGAAATCAGAACATTTTTTAAAAAAAATATTAAAAGCCCATTCCAAAAAGTAGAACATTAACGTAATGTGTAAAACTGTTAAATTTTGCCAAGATGACCTTCCCTTGTCTTAAACATGCACTTGAATTATAAAATTACAAGTAAAATGCCTAGTAAATGTGTATTTTCAGATCTTCGATTGGTCAGAGAGTGAACTTGATGACCTTGCACGACATCTCCTTTCTCACGCTACTAAGGAGCTGACAGTTGTAAGTGCCCTTCATTGCTGTGCTCAAAATTTAAAACAAACATGTACGTTGAATTGTATTGTTTTGTATTTTTGCCACATTTGCAAAAACCCTCATGTTAACATAAAAATTATGTGTAATATTTACAGATGGGATCTACTTTTCTTTATTCAAAATAATGGATAATTTCGGTGCCCCATATCAAGCCTTAACACTAAGGGTTATTCTATGTTTGTAACATAATGGAATTTTGTAATTTAAGCAATGAGCCAACTATTCATGTGTAACAATCAATGTTTTGGTGGGTCGGCGTAATAAAAAATCATTTATAGCTCGACTGTTTGGTAAAAATACGACAATTATACATTATCAAGGTTCTATTAATATCAATCACTAAGAACAGTCGTCGAGCGTTGCTGTCCTACCGACAGCTCTTGATTAAGTTACTACATTTTTTAATGGAAACTGCTTGAATTCCAGTAGTGCTTTCAGCAGTACAGTGAACAAGTGAAGATTGTTTCATAGCTGAAGGTTACAATTACTTGAGACACACCCTGGTTCTATTTACATGCCAGGTGTAAAGCATCCAAATCAGGACCCTATTTATAGTCTAATCAGCAGGACTATTTTGTCAGTGATCATACGCGGTCAGTCTTGGGGATGGAACACACAACCTTGAGATTACAAATCTGCTCTACGATTGAACTAATCGGGGTGATTGAACTAATATACACTCTTTCTATTACACTTTGAAAATCATGTCATTCAGGTGTCTCAACTTCTCACGGCGGTAGACAATGGCTGTGTGAACAAATGGAAAGGCAAACAGTTATAAGAAATCTCTACAGAAGGTGCTATATTTTATATTTTCTATCAATTAAGTAATGCACAATGTGTCTTATATAATATATGATCTATTTTTGCTTGAACCGGCCTATGCAGGTAGTATTGCATTTTCCTATCAGAGTCATCACCTATCTAATAGTGATAAATACATCTGGAGCATGAAGATATGAAGGCTTAGATATGGAATGCGACAGTAATGGCCAAGTGGTTAATATGTGGGACTAGTAATCAATAGATGGCTGACCACATGAGTTCAAACCCTGTCAGGGGCAAGCCATCGTTTTTTTTAGCGATAAACTTTACATTCATTGCTTAGTACTGGTTGGTTCTAGGAGGGGTTTGGAGAGTGTTTTATTAAGCTTCCAACACAAACTAGATATTTTTTTATAAACTAACTGTGGAGTGATGGCATATGGACAGATTTATATCTCAAAAATGAACTTTAATCTGCTGTTTTTGCTAGGTAATGTAAAATATATTTCAATGACATGAAATAAGCCTTCTTGAATAATTCTACTAGGTATATAAACAATGGAAGATGTCATGTTTCAGAAAACATGTATGATATTTAGCCAGTTATTAGACAAGAACAATTCTGACAGTGATGAGGACAGTGGTAAGTGCTTCTTAGTTTGAATATTCTGACCATTTTAATCAGTGTTTTACCAACATGTTTCTAACCATTGCACATAATTTCATGAAAGTCCATTGAAGTGACCATTTTTTTTTTGCCAATCTGCAAAAATAATATAAATCATGATGCCTTTGGTGTCAATACTCGAAACATCTGTTGACTCCATAGCATAGGTTCATATTTAAAGCATTGCCTTGATATCCCGGTTCAGTTCCAAGTGGATGCCAGACGATATAAAAATGTTACCATTTTCCTTGCTTGGCATTCTGACATCTGACAGCAATATTAATAATCACCAGCTCTTCTCTTAACACAAATTAATGATTTTTTCTCTCATAGAAATGTTACAATTTTCCTCGCTTGGCATTTTGACATCTGACAGCAATATTAATAATCACCAGTTCTTCTCTTAACACAAATTAATGAACTTTTCTCTCTTTATTCTGTAACTGGCTAGAACTTTGTAATTTACAGAAGGCTTAACTCCAAATCAAGGCACAACATAATTTAGATCAGGACCTTTATGTATGTCAAACTTAAATTGATTTTTACCTTGAAGGTCAGATCCTTATATGTTCACTGATAATTGCTTTAATTGACCTGGGATGTGGAATTTTAGATTTTTTTCCACTCGCAATTATTCAAATACATACGTTATTCTAAAGTTATACCATAGTATCTTGCTTTAGACCCAACAATGCAATGTATAAATTTCTTGTTAAATCTGCACAATTGTTGGGTCTTCCAATTCGTCTTTATATACACTTTGTGGCAAAACGTTGTTCGGAATTTAATTTGAATACAGAAAGATTAATTATTTTACATTTCTAATAAAAAAGTCTGCTGATTTTTAGCTCGACTATACGAAGTATATGGAGAGCTGTCCTACTCGACCCGGCGTCCTTGTCCAGATTTGATATTAAAGTTTTGGTGCAGTAAATTATGTGTCACTGTAACTGTATCATTTCTTAAGGTATCAACTTCAAACTTCAAATATATGTTCCTTATTATCAAACACTCTTATGTGACAAGGTTTATGTCTCTAGCACAAATATTTTCAGATTTATCTCCCCTTGAACTTAGAATTTTCCTTAAAGAATATTATTTTTTACTGTTACTTCTTTATTTCTTAAGGGACCAACTCATACTTCAAATATATGGACCTTATCATCATTCACATCTTATGTGACAAGGTTCATAAATCTCGCACCAATACTTTTAGTTTATCTCCCCTTGAAATAGCATTTTCCTTAAGGTATTAGGACCCTAATTGGCACTATCAGGAACTAAAGAATTGACATCATAGGTCAGATGTATACCTTAAAGTACACCTGTATGCAAAATTTAAACAAAGTTAACCGTACGGAAATCAAGTTATGGCCACTTTTCTGAACTCAAGATAGGATGTTATGAGGGCCCTTTTTTCGAAATGAGGAACCTTTAAATAATCTGCAATAACATTCTAATGAAAAATGTTTTCCCTTGAATTTCTGGTAAGAAACAAATAGTACCATTCATCCAACATTCAACATAAGCAAAATTATGGTTTCTTCTTAAAATTTGTGAAATCTGTATAAAAATGTTACCCTACCCCACCCATTTTTACATCATGTCTGACCATTTTTCTACTTAGGGAGCCTTATTCAAAAAAAATCTTAAAATTTACCCAAATGAGTGCCTGTTTTCAAAGTTTCCCTAATTTTTTCAAAAAGTATATTGGTTGATCTTGTAAAATATGAAATACTTTTACTGTCTAGTTTTGATTATATTACACTTTGAAAATATCAGGTACCATATTTATTACTAGATTTAGCATAATTTAGCAAATAAATACCTATATAAATTAAAAATTCAAAATTAAACACTTTTTTCCTTCCATATGGGACATGAGAGATACAAAAATAATGTTAAAAGAAAAAAAAATTGACCCTTCTGGGGATTGAACCCATGGCCCTCATTTTCAATGTAGTTAATAGTAATTCTAGCCTATTTGAATACTCTTCAAAGCGGAGGTAATGCATTAGGGTGCTAATACCTTAAATAATATTATTGTTTACTGTTTCTTCTTTATTTCGTAAGGGATCAACTTCATACTTCAAATATGTCTTATTTATCATGAACCACAGGTTAAGTGACAAGGTTCATAACTTTAAGCACCAATATTGCAAGACTTTTCTTCCCACAAACTTAGTTTTTTTTTTACTTAAAAATGTTATTTTTTACTATACTTTTTTAGTTTTAAAGGTATCTACTTCAAACTTCAAATTATTATTCCTTATCATCAATTACATGTTATATGATAAGGTTCATAACTCTTGAAGCAATATTTACAGATTGATATCTTTGAATTTGGGATTTTCTTAAAGAAATGTTATAACTTCTTTAGTATTTTATTGGTCGAGCTACGCTGTCTCCTGTGACAGCTCTTGTTGTTGTTTCATGTTATGTAGAGAAACACTTTACTTTTTAGGTACTAGTAAATGTGGCAGGAAGGTTCCATGGAGTAAGACTGAAGAGGCTTTCTTACGAAAAACATTTAAATTCTACCTAAATGGAACTAAAACAAGTGTTCATAACTCTGACATGATAATGGCGCAAAACACCTGTAGTGAGTTAGCAATGAGAACATTGGCTCAAATAAGATCTAAGCTAAATAACATGAAATTAGGTAAATCTAAGTAACATTTCCCACAGCATCATAGACAATGTATTTTAGTAACAGATCTATTTGACTGTTTGAAGATTTAACACATTCCTGTGGACAAGCTTGAAATTGCTGGATGAATGAGGGTCAAAATGGACCTCTTGTTTCATTTTTTGTGCAAAATCTATTCAATCTGTAAAGCGTTTGACATTTTAAAGCTGCATGAAAGAAGTGCTAAAAAATGTTCAAATAAAGTGTGGAAGTATTCTAAAATGTAAATGTGTTGTTAGCAGATACTTGTATTGTTTTTCATCTGTGTAAGTTTACGTAAAGCAAACTGAAGTACCTCAAACAAACAGAACACGGTAAACAGCATGGCTGATTTTGGCGCGCTTCCAATCTGAACGTCTTCAGCTATTGTCATTAGTCTGACAGAGAAAAAAATCCGACCTACTTAACCTAATATTCAACTTGAATATGTAAGTTAACGTAAAGCAAACTGAAGTACCTAAAATAAACAGAACAGGGTAAACAGCATGGCCAACTATAGCGCGCTTCAAATCTTAACGTCTTCAGCTATTGTCATTAGACTGACAGAGAAAAAATACGACCTACCCAACCTGATATTCAACTTGAATATGTAAGTTAACGAAAAGCAAACTGACGTACCTAAAATAAACAGAACAGGGTAAACAGCATGGCCAACTATAGCGCGCTTCAAATCTTAACGTCTTCAGCTATTTTTAGTAGACTGACGGAAAAAAGAATCCGACCTAGCCAACCTACTTTTCAACTTGAATATGTAAGTTAACGTAAAGCAAACTGAAGTACCTCAAACAAACAGAACAGGGTAAACAGCATGGCCAAATATAGCGCGTTTCCAATCTGAACGTCTTCAGCTATTTTCTGACTGACTGACTGAAAAATTTTTCGACCTACCCAAAGTGTTTGACATTTGATAATAAAGCTGCATGAAATAAGTGCTAGAACATAATAGAATGAACCCAGAAAGATTGCTTAGATGAAAGTTTATTGTTTGCAGATATTTGTATTGTTTTTCATCTATGTAAGTGACTAACTAGATAAGGCCTAAAATGTGTTGTTGGGTAACATGCTCTCTAGGAATATGTAGGGTAGGCCGAATTGTTTTTTTTTTGTTTTGGATACTTTTATTTTCAATCTCTGACTTGCCAGATAATGGTGAAATGTAATTGTATTATTCTTGGGTACTCGTTGCATTGTTAGCGAAACCGATCATTTAAGTGCTCATAAAGACGTATTAGTAGTGTTGGATGTCTGTATTGAGATGTCTGTTCACCTTTACCTTGTTAACACACTAGAGGCCGAATTTTTCAAGAAACTTAAAGGTCAGACTAATTAAATTGATTAGGTCTATGCGGTGTTGACAGGTCAAAAAATCACTACATCAAATCCGTTAACAACATTTTGTTCATATTAAGGGCAGCATTTGAATCTAATCATTATGAATCTTTGTCAAAATGAATGTCTTTGAGTATTGGATTTCATTTGGGTCATGTAGGGCAAAAACTTGGTCAATATATAAAGTCCTAGAAATACTTTAACGCATGGGCTTCTTTTATATCTTATCATTAATTCAGTATACATCTTTTTCCTGATTTTTTTTTTGTTTTTTAGCTCACCTGTGACAAAGTGACATGGTGAGCTTTATTAATCGCTTATCATCCGGCGTCAATCCATTAACTTTTATTTTAAACGACATCATCTCGTAACCCACTAAACCTTTAAAACTTGTTCAAAGAATTTAATTCCATACAAAACTCTGGTCGCCATGGCAACCGAAAGAAAAGGCTTAAACTATCCAAAGAGCTAGAGCTTAGATATTTGGGATGAAACATCTTCTAGTGAGTGTCTACCAAGTTTGTTTAAAATAAAAGCCATTGGGTCAAAATTTATTGGTTAATTGATTTTCCTTATATGTATAGAGTTAAAACTCTAAAAATTAAAAAAAAAAACCCTAAAATAGCTAGAACTTAGATATTAAACTTGAAACATCTCTTAGTGTCTTCAAAGTTTGTTTTTTTAAAGCCCTCTTGGTCATTGATTGTCCTTATATGTATTTATCTTCTTTTTAAATACTTAAATAGCTAGAGCTTAGATATGAAGCATGAAACATCTTATGTATATTTACCAAATTTGTTCAAATAAAAGTCCTGGGGTCAAAATTGGTTCTGCCTAGTGAGGTCATTGATTTTCCTTATATGCATATAGTATAGACAAAATAATCTTCTTTTAAAACACCCAATAGACCAGTACTCTGACTAAGGTGAGCAATTTAGAGCAATCATGACCCTCTTGTTGGTCTACTTTATGTGTTTTTGTTTTTGATTTTTTATCTAATAACTGTATTGTTTTGCATCTATCTATTATA